CGTCTCGGCCTCCCAAAGTGCTGGGATTACAGGCTTGAGCCACCGCGCCCGGCCCCAACCATCTTATAGCAACTCTCAGAATTCCTTTTTTTTTTCAGACAGAATCTTGCTCTGTTGCCCAGGCTAGAGTGCAGTGGTGCAATCATAGCTTACTACAGCTTAAACCTCCTGGGCTCAAGTGATCTTCCTACCTGAGCCTCCCAAGTAGCTGGGACCACAGGTATGAGCCACCACACCTGGCTAATTTAAAAATTTTTTGTAGAGATGGGGTCTTGCAAAAAAAAAAAAAAGAGAGAGAGAGATGGGGTCTTGCTATGTTGCCCAGGCTGGTCACAAACTCCTGAGCTCAAGTGATCCTCCTGCCTTGGCCTCCCAAAGTGCTGAGATTACAGGTGTGAGCCACCATGTGTGACCAGTTCTCTTCCGTTTTCAGGCTGAATAGCATTTAGTTGAATTTTATAACAAACGCATGTTTGCATTCTTTCAAACGCATCCTTCGTGGCGCATTTCCTGCCGGGTTTGACTTTGGCTGCGTGTCCTGCCCCCACTAGGTGAAGCGTAACCTGCTGAACTTCTCCTACCGCATCGCGCAGTACATGGAGGTCATCTCCGACCTGCCCAGGGAGATCGAGCACCTTAAATCAAAAATTGGGAAGCGAGAAAAGGAGAAGAAAAGTGAAGCCGGCATCCGGGACGCCCGAGGTAGGTAGGCCGAGCGGGGCGTGGCGCCCCCTGCAGGCACAGCAGCACTGTCGCCCTCCCAGGGCTCCCAGGATACGTCCCTGTCCTGGTTACCCCTCCCTGTCTGGAGCTGGTTGCTCCAGCCTCTCTGAGAACCTGCTCCCAGAGAGCGCTTTGGGGGCCCGCCCAGGCTTTAATTCCAACCTGGCCACTACCTCAATGTGTCCCTGACCCTGGGCTCTAATTCTTCCTTTGTAAATGGGGGGTTGGATTCTTTTCTTTTTTTTTCTTTAGAGACAACGTTTCACCCTATTGCCCAGGCTGGAGTGCAGTGATGCAATCATAGCTCACGGCAGCCTCAGCCTCCTGGGTTTAAGTGATCCTCCTGCTTCAGCCTCCTGAGTAGTTGGGACTAGAGGCATGTGCCACCACATCCAGCTCACTTTTTTTTTTTTTTTTTTTTGAGACAGAGTCTCACTCTATTGCCCAGGCTGGAGTGTGGTAGCATGATTTTGGCTCACTGCAACCTCCGCCTCCTGGGTTCAAGTGATTCTCCTTCCTCAGCCTCCTGTTTAGCTGGGATTACAGGCACCTGCCACCATGCCCAGCTAATTTTTGTATCTTTAGTAGAGAAAGGGTTTCACCATGTTGGCGAGACTGGTCTGGAACTCCTGACCTCAAGTGATCTGCCCGCCTTGCCCTCCCAACGTGCTGGGGTTACAGGCATGAGCCACTGCACCTGGCCTGAAAACCTTGTTTTAATGACTGCAGCGATTCGGTCATCTGCATGCACCATAATTTGTTTTGCCAACCCTAGATTGCTCGACATTTAAGGAAAAGGCAGCTCTTGACCACTGCCCTCAAGGTCATGGGAACAGACTGGACAAACTGTGCATGTCCAGGGTGGAGCCGTCTACTGGGGCAGGCAGAGAAAACCATTGATTAGCTGCTGGGCAACTATTAGGTAGGAACTTACTGTTGGAAACAGGAATGATTTTGCTCCATGGAGCTTCCATTCAACCAGGAAAGACAGATATGAAACATTTTTCGCAAAATGTTACTTAATCATAGATGTGCCGAGTACTGTGAAGGAGAAGGCAGGGTGTCATCAGAGCAGGTGGCAGGTGGCCCAGAGCGAGGATCTGGGAGTGTCTCACTGGGAAAGGGAGGTCTGAGCTGAGATGGTTGGTCCAGACTCAACACTATTTGGGTTCCTGAGACTCAAATCCAGGTAGCCTGACCCCAAGCCAGGCAAAGAGGGGGTTTAAATTCCTCTAAATCATCTATCCATTTATCCACAAGTCCAGCCATCCATCTACCCATCCACTTATTTACACATCTACCCGCTCACCCATCCATCCATTTACCCTCTGTTCACCCATCTACCCATCCATCCATCCATCCATCCTTCCACCCATCCATTCATCCAACGTCATCCATCCATCCATCTACCCATCCATTCATCCATATCCATCCATCCATCCATCCATCCATCCATCCACCCATCCATTCATCCATATCCATCCATCCATCCATCCATCCATTTATCCATCCTCATCCATCCATCCATTCATCCATTCACCCATCCCCAACCATTCATCTCCATCCATCCATCTACCCATTCATCCACTCATCCATCTATCCATACATCATCCATCCATCCATCCTTCCATCCACCATGCATCTATCCATCCATCCATCCATTCTTTCATACATCCACCCATCCCCAACCATTCATCTTCATCCATCCGCCTATTCATCCACTCATCCATCCATCCATCCATCCATCTACCATGCATCTATCCATTCATCCATCCATTCTTCTATCCATCCACCCATTCCCAACCATTCATCTCCATCCATCTATCTACCCATTCATCTAGTCATCCATCTATCTATCCATCATCCATCCATCCACCATGCATCTATGCATCCATCCATTTTTCCATCCATCTACCCATCCTCAACCATACATCCTCATCCATCCACCCTCTGTTCATCCACCCAACCACCCATCATCCATCCATTATTTATCCATCCATTTATCTATCCATTCATCCCCAACCATTCATACTCATCTATCCATCTACCCTCCAGCCTCCATCCATCCATCACTATCCATTCATTCTCTCTCTCCATCCATTCACCATCCACCACCCATCCATCCATCTCCATTCACTCATCCATCCATGAGCTTCTCTGAGGGCCAGACACCATCTTGGTGGGTGGGCATGGAGTCCAACCCTGACTTAGGTGGCACTGCTCCTGGTTCAGCCAGCTCCCTTCCTGCCCGCAGTCCCAATGCTGTCCCATGACACAGAGGAGGACAGCCACGTACAGATGAACAAGATCTGGGCACAGCTCATCACGGCCTTCAAGGAGCAGATGGAGATGCGACGCAGCCTGGTGGAGCTGAAAAACACCAACATCGAGCTGCACACGGACGTGTCCCGCCACCTGCTGACCATTGCAGAGTGAGTGTGCCCGCTGGCTCAGCCCCACCCGGACCCCAGCACTGTCCCTCCTAACAGGGCAGGGCCAGCCTGCCTGCCAGAGCAGAGGGGCCACTGCTGGGAGCTCCTTTTGCTGTTGTCCAGCTACCCTCTGCTGCCTGCAGGTTCCTGTTCCTCCCGTGCTCACCTGCCCCTGTGGCTACGCTGGGCCAGGTAGGACGGGCTTCCAGATTCCTTTCATCTCTCACACAGGCTGGAGTCCAGAGGCAGCCTGGTAGGTCAGCTAGGCCCAACCCCACTATGGGAGGGGATACTGAAGCGTAGAGGAGATGTGGGCTTGCCCCGTCCTATACCAGGGCTTTTCTCTCGTTGCACACTCACTCCCTGCTCAGACCCACTGAGCACAGAGTGGCCATGTGCAGAGGGGCTGTTAACATTACCACTGGGCTGGGCCAGGCGTGGGTGGCTCATGCTTGTAATCCCAGAACTTTTGGAAGGCCGAGGGATGGTGTGTGGATCACCTGATCAGGAGTTCGAGACAGCCTGGCAACGTGGTGAAACCCGTCCTTACAAAAATACAAAAAATTACCCAGGCGTGGTGGTGGGTGCCTGTAAATACCAGCTACTCGGGAGGCTGAGGCAGGAGAATTGCTTGAACTTTGGGAGGTGGAGGTTGCAGTGAGCCGAGATCATGCCATTGCACTCTAGCCCGGATGGCAGAGCGAGACTCTGTCTCAAAAAAACAAAAACAAAAACAACAACAAAAAAACAATCACACTGGGGACCAATCGTGTCCTCTGGGACTGCCCTGGACAAACCAGACCCTGGCCCCACACTTATGGGTGACTTAAAACCTGGTGCTGGCAGGTGCAGTGCGCTTCATGCTCTGTAATCCCAGCACTTTGAGGAGGCTGAGGCGGATGGGATCAACTCGAGGTCAGGAGTTCAAAAACCAGCGTGGCCAGCCATCAGTGTGGCCAACATGGTGAACAGCCGCCTCTACGCTAAAAATACAACAAAATTAGCTGGCATGGAGGCGTCACCATGGGAATCCCAGCTACTTGGCGAGCTGAGGCAGGCGATTACTGAACCAGGAGGCGGATGGTTACAGTGAGCTGAGATCGC